AAACTTGATGCCGCCAAACAACGACGGCGAGACTCGGACTTGGCCCTCTTGTTGAGCCGGCTAGAAGCTGCAACGTCCGGATCAGGGATTCGGTCCTGGCGGCCGCAGCGATCGCCTCCGCCGCCGGCCAGCGAATGGGGAACTGGATGTGAGTGTTGATGTGCAAAAGTCTGTGAGTCACGATGGATGGATAGATCAATGTGTGCTGTTATGGGTGAATGGATGAATGGTTTTCCGTATCTCGTTTAAGGTTGTGGAGGACTGGCAGTCGCGTTTTCCCACATTCATATGAGTAGTGCTGATGTTTTCCATTGAATTTCACATGGACTTGCTTTCCCAAAAATGTGTTTTCATCACCTTAAATAAAAATGGGGCGAGCACAACTCACACTCGTTTGTGAAATAACTTAGTCATTGCCTGTATGGATGAATGAATAGATGAACGGCCTGATACCTGATTGATAGATGGGCGAAGAAAGTGGCTTTGGTTCATGCTGTATGCATGGATAGATAAATGAATGAATGAAGAATACTCTTAGAATTAATGTGATTGAATGTGTTATTGGATTATCAAAATTGTGCAATTAAGACGTAATGAGCAGCCAAATGAACGTAAGGTTTGATGGATGAATAGATGGATGGATGGATGGATGTGTAGATGGTCTAATGAAAAATGGCTCAATAAATTGATGAATGAGTGGATGGATTGTTGCATCGAAATGTGTATGGATGGAGGAATTGTTCAATTAATGCACGATGGAAGAATGATTGGCTGATGGTAATAATTGTAGAATGAATGATTGCATGGATTGGTGGATGTCGGATGGATGAATGGATAGATGGTGAATTGGTTTATCGGATTCTGCAATGCGCGGACATTAGAATGGATGGATGACTGTATGTATGCATAGAAAGACGGCCGAACGCTTGTTTGAGTTGATGAATGGCCGGATGGATGAATGGGCGGATGGATGAATGGTAGAATGAGTGAGCTTTGTGTGAGTCTGTACGTTAGTCAACTGTTTGTCCGTAAGATGGAAGAAGGAGAGGAAGAGGGAGAGGGAGAGGGATAGAGATGGATAGGAAAGGTATGAATTATGTAGAAAATCTGGCTTTTGAGCTTGCAACGAAATGAAAGGCATGAAGTGTCGGCGGACTGATCAGGATCAGTTGATCCCGATCGCCGACCGGTGCATCATGACATACGTGTCGGTGTGTGGTCTGAAGCGAGCCGTCATGTCGGTGAATGGACACCGAATGCAACCATAGCAACAACATCGGCAGCAGCATTGCTCCGATTGTCCGTCAACTGGCGATGCTGCCTTCGAGCGAAAGAAGGGAAATCTTTTCTGGGAATGCTTGGAGACAGCGCACTCTGGACGCCTCGAAGGTGCGGTCGTCGATGCGAAGAGGAGTCGACAAGAGAGTCTTGAGAAAGCGTCATGGCAACTAGACGAATTTCGCTAATTTCCGTTGAGTCCTGCAGACGAGGCGGCAGAGGTGGGGAGAATAAAGTGGAAAATAAAGTTGACCGGTAATAAATGGAATATTTAACAAAGTTGGGCATGTCTGGAACTGTGGCGGCGAGAATAGAAGACGCGGACATGCCAAGTTGTGGAATGTACGAATGAATGAGCTGAAAAGATTTGCAAATGAAGGGCAAGTAAAAATTAAGAGCAAACTTGAGAGGAGAGAGCAAATTGACGCAGGAATGGGCAAACATCGACAGCAAGTGGGAAAGGTAAAAGTGGAAAATGATGAAAACAGAAATAAAAAGCATTAAAGAAGTGTGTTGACTTGTCGCTATGACGAGTTGGTAGGTTGGTGCGGAGACTGGCAACCAGGAGTGATGATGCCGACGAGGATGCCAGGCGGAACGTTTGAGAATGTACCAAGTCCACTGTCTGATGCTGGCAATCATGACAACTAATTTGGAAGAGGAGTTCGAACGAGGAGCGTTCAAAGAAGTCGACTTGACAATGAGACCAAGTGGCAAAAACGAGGTCAACCCGATTCTTTAAAACAAATGGAGACTGCGAACATAGCGGAAGGTACATCATCTTGGTCTTCATGTCTCCTCCTCTTTTTCTCCTCTCCTGCTCTTCTCCTCCTCTTTTCTTTTTCTTCTCCTCTTATCCTCTTCTCTTCTTCTTCTCCTCTTCTTCTCCTCTTCTCCTCTTCTCGTCTTCTCATCTTTTCATCTTTTCCTCTTCGCCTCTTCTCCTCTTCTCCTCCTAACCTCTTCTTGTTCTCATCCTCTTATAATCCTCTTCTCTTCTTCTCCTGTCTTCTCTTCAACTCTTCTCTTCTTTTTCTCTTCTCCTCTCCTCCTCTTCTCCTCTTCCCCTCTTTTCATATTTTCATCTTCGCCTCTTCCCCTCTTCTCTTCTGCTCCTCTCTTCTTCTTCTCCTCTTCTTCTCCTCTTCTCCTCTTTTCATATTTTCAT